TTAAATGATTTCTGCATTAGATTCCAATATGCACTAGTTGTAATAGAAATTCTCCGGATCAGTGTTTAGTGGTTGTTAATGATAAAAACCGTAGTTTTTAAATAGTCTTTAATTTAACTATTCAGTGATTCGATTCAATATTTCAGAACATTAGTGATCCAGTACTTGTATTTTACTGTGTCGGTGATTAATTTACCTCAAATTTTCAGTGATTCAGTGTTTCAAAATATCAGTGATTCAGTATTTCAAAGTTTCAGTGACTCGGTATTTTCAGGATCTTGAAGAGGTGTTTCAGAATTTGAAATATGGGAAGTCTCAAATATCCCAGACGCTGAAGATGTACTTAGACAACTTACTTTCCCAGACACTAATTTTCAGCGGGGAGACTGACTTCCAGCACAAGAACTTTGACCATTGGGGGAAGCTAGCAAAGAATAAAGTCTGTGTATATGTGCACTATGTTTTCTTAAAGATAAATGAGATATAAGTAGCCTTCTACTCTTGGTGATAAGGCTATGATTGTTCCTGTTTGCGCTCATGCATACTGTTTGTATATGGTATCAATATATTTGGTCTATCATTTTCATGGTCCCAGGTGTAGGATAAAGAAACTGCTTTCAACGTATGGTCTTTACTCAGTAAATAATGGAATACAAAATAACAAAGGAATTTGAGAGATAGCACAATAAATGGCAGATCTTTTTGAAACATCTAGATAATACAACTGGATAGTAATACAATAACCATATGTCCACACACACACACGGATAAATCATTTTATATCGGCCTACAACTGAATGTTAAGGACACAATGAATTAATTGAAAACACTCTAATTAAACGAAATCAATGCGACATGATCCGTTCAAGTGTAACTACGACCCATTCCAACTTCCTAAGTGTGACATCTCAGGCTTTCATGTGACTTCTCAGACTGAAACCCAATGTGGCACTGAAGTCTCCATGTTTTACCCTAGAGTGACCTGCTTCTTTGAGGGTGACCTTGGAGTAAAGGGCAAGAAACCACCGTGACTGATGTGCCCAGACTTCTGAGAGACTAGGAAGTGAGTTTCCGAGCAAGTGAGAGCTCAGCCTGAAATGAGGCAGGACGTTTCAGATCTCAGACTGAAACCCAATGTGGCACTGAAGTCTCCATGTTTTACCCTAGAGTGACCTGCTTCTTTGAGGGTGACCTTGGAGTAAAGGGCAAGAAACCACCGTGACTGATGTGCCCAGACTTCTGAGAGACTAGGAAGTGAGTTTCCGAGCAAGTGAGAGCTCAGCCTGAAATGAGGCAGGACGTTTCAGATCTCAGACTGAAATGGATGTCTCAGGCAGAAACTGACTCATATATGGATGTCCTAGGCACTGACAGGATGCCTCAGGCTGAACTTCCGTCTCAGGCTTAATGGCCCTCAGGAGCTCACTTGATGCCTAATGCCCAGTGTTCTCTCCTGCTGGTGGACGTCCTTTGGGTTTGTGCCTCATGCTGGAGTGTGGTATTGCTAGATGGCTTCTGGAAATCTGAGAGAAATAAAACGATTAAAGGATAAGCAATATAGAATGCAATGAGAGAAAACAGATGATCTTAAGGACAGAATGTACTATGGCATACAAAACATTTTGTAGTTTTAAAAGTTCCAAACAAGCATCGACTCATTTTACTTCATTTGAATCATCTGAACTGTTTGCTTTACAGTAAAGTACAATGCATGGCACCAGACAATCTCATGGCGCAGTGGTATGAGGGAGCTCATCCAGTCACATTCCACACTTATGCAATACTCACCTCCTACATGCAGTTGAAGTCTCTCCTGAAGGCCTGTCTTGTGTTTGTAGACTGAAGTCTCACTCTGTGCCCTCTGATATCATTCTTGTAGACAGGAGTCTTACTTAGAGACTAAAGTTACACTTAGGTTGGGCATTCATCTTTGAAACAGTCACATTTAAACACTGAGGTCACACTTGAGGCATGGCATCTACATTTCCAGAACTATATATTGAGATTTAAATTATATAATATTAAAGAAAGCACATGGAAGCGAGTGACACGTGTGTCCTCTATTCATGTTACAAATATAATGAAGGAACAATACCTAATAACATCTGACATAAATCGATAAAAAAATCTTAATAAATACAGTTGTACATGATTGCATTTTTTAAACATACAGATGTGTTTAAGAAATGTTACATCAACAGGGTTATATTAATAACAATGGTAATGAAAATGATAATGTACATTATACATAAACATTTTTATATAAATATCGCAAGTGATGAATAAGATCTAAACTATTAATATGTTCTAACATGCAGTTGTAAAATCGAGCTATAAAAATGTATGAAATATACTTCGAAGTAAGAAAAATAAGATTATCTTATACATGAAGAAATATAACAGTAAATGTGACCAACCACTAGATTATAAAGACGACAACCTAATTTTAATGACAAATTATTATTATTCCTTCTTAGTGTTGATGGCTATAATGAGCTGTTTCATTTTTACATAATAAGATTTAATAAGAAACATAATCATGGTATGTGATAACATGTCACATTATACCATATATAGTGAGGAACAAAAATCATAAAATATGTATGTTTTACATTTTCTTACATACATCATACATCACAAGTTTTTAAGTGTTGAAAAACATTTCATATCAATTATACACTGAGGTTTAGTAAACATATATCTACATGCTAATATGATCTAAGAACAGTGTGAAACGTTTGGTGCTTTGATTAAACACAAAGAAGTTGTTGATGATGATGATGATGACGATGGCGATGATAATGACGATGCCGATGATGATGATGATGATGATGATGATGTGATGGTGATGGTAATGGTGATGACTGATTGATGATTTTGATGATGGTATTTTTTTCGATTGCAGAAAACGCATTACACACATAACCCATCTGGATTTCGAAACTGTTGTCTCATCATAGTCTTTTTTCATAACAATGAAGTTTATTGTTATGATGGCAGCCTAATTTATAAGATAATTGATTGAACTTATAGCAATTCCGATACATATAACAGAACAAAAAAAAAATATATATATATATTCTATAATATTCAAAGGCTATTTGAATTTTACAATGAATATAACTGTCATGAGGATAATGGAAAGCAATTTTGACGCCTTTGAACACAGACGCATTAATCATTTCTAAAAAGACACTGACAAGATATGACGATGGGACGTTGGAATTCAAATAAACGGGACCGACCAAAAGATTAAAAAAAATAATAAAGATAAAGATTAGGGATAACGACGCTCCTAAAAAAGGGAGGAGAAGTAGGTCGGGATTCATAAGAAATTCAGTTCTTACGACGAAGGGAAACGAGGATGGAAAAGCGGAGAGGAAATGGTACTCAGAGCCGATGATGTGATGGTAATGAAAGTCCTCTGATTAAACACGACGAAGAGTACAACCCGGAGAGAATTAGTCACACCGAGAATAAGATTAATGAAACACTGTAATAAGGACATTAAACGGAGTTAAAGGAGCTACGAGGACTTAGATACATAACTTAGACATGTGAATGGAAATCACTCTAGGGGGTTAAAATGAGGCCGAATAAATAAAGCCTGAAATGGTTTTGTAAATGGGAAATTGCTCCTATAATAGTTGTTTTTTTTAATTAATAATGAATGAAATTTGATATTCATAACTAAAAAAATAATAATTACGATAAACGGCGCTCCTTTCTGGGGACGCGATACAAGTCGTATTCCATAACAAGGATATCAGTTGGTATGGAAAAGATTAAACTTATGTCAAAATAAACTTAATGATTAATAAAACCCATGAGTAATGCGGTCGATGTGATTCAAAATTTCCTTGCAACAAAGTAATTGTTACAAAGACATAACATACAGATTCTAATATATTCTTAACAACAAAAATATTGTTACAAAGACCAAATATATAGATTTTCATATTGTTAATAATAACAGAAAATGGCAATAATATTGAGAAAGACAAAATATACAAATTTAGTATTGTGTCACGGTTTTAAGTGGAGAAAATTATTTATTACTTATTCGATACTGAATGGTGTGTAACATGCATAAAAAAATTGATAATGACTTTCTGTAGGCGCGTCAGAAGTCGATTTCCATAACAAAGATATTAATTGTTACGAAAATGGTGAAACATTTTTCTTTGTTTATGATGAATGAAATTTGACATTCGTAAATATAAATATAAAAATTACGATCAACGGCGCTCTTTTCCGTAGGCGCGATTCAAGTCGACTTCCATAACAAAGATATTAATTGTTACGAAAATAGTGAAAAAATACGAAATGCTGATGATCATTATAATACAAATACAAATATTACTTTTTAAGATTTTTGTTTTAATGGTTCAGATGGCGACACTGAGAAAACAATAAAGAATTAAATTTGATATTCATAAATTTAAAGAAAATAATGATTACGATAAACGGCGCTCCTTTCTGGGGACGCGATACAAGTCGTATTCCATAACAAGGATATCAATTGATATGGAAAAGGTGAAACTTATGTCAAAATAAACTTAATGATTAATAAAACCCATGAGTGAAGAGGTCGATGTGATTCAAAATTGCCTTGCAGCAAAATAATTGTTACAAAGACATAACATACAGATTCTAATATATTCTTAACAACAAAAATATTGTTACAAAGACCAAATATATAGATTTCATATTGGTAATAATAACAGAAAGTGGCAATAATATTGAGAAAGACAAGATATACAAATTTATTATAGCGTCATGGTTTTAAGTGGAAAAAAATATTTATTACTTATTCGATACTGAATGGCGTGTCACATGCATAAAAAAATTGTTAATGACTTTCTGTGGGCGCGTCAGAAGTCGATTTCCATAACAAAGAGATTAATTGTTACGAAAATGGTGAAACATTTTTCTTTTTTTTACGATGAATGAAATTTGACATTCATAAATATAAAGATAAAAATTACGATCAACGGCGCTCTTTTCCGTAGGCGCGATTCAGGTCGACTTCCATAACAAAGATATTAATTGTTACGAAAATAGTGAAACTTATGCAAACAAACTTAATGATTAAATTAATAGAACTCACAAGTGAAGGATGTGATTCAAAATGTCTTTGCAACAAAATAATTGTTACAAAGACAATATATACTTTTTTCATAATGGTTATAACGTCACCACTCTAACATAACTTGCAACGAAATGTGTTTATTTCAGTACAACGTCACCACTCTAACATAACTTGCAACGAAATGTGTTTATTTCAGTAGCAAAAAGAATATTAATATTTAAATTCCGTATATGTTTTTTTTTTCTCCAAATATATGTCCAGCAGTATCTAAAAAGATTTGTAATATTTACGGACACTATTGTTTAAAAAATGAATAAATAAATGAATATGTTCAATATATTAGTGGCGATTTCAAACAATATATAATATTTAGAATTATCACGAAAAATAGAAAATTCACAAATGGGGAAGTGTTGTTGTATTTTATAGTGAATGAAATTTGGCGTTTATAAATACAAATATAATGATAACGATTAACGGCGCTCCTTTCTGTAGGCGCGATACAAGCCGTCTTCCGTAACAATGATATTGATCGTTACGGCAAAATTAATGAAAATAATTATGCTAATGATCAGCAAGATAACAATAATGATGGCAGTAACAGTAATGATGATAATGATTATGGTGATAACATTACCAATGAATAGGTTATCAACAATAATGGCACTGATAACACTGGTGATAATAATACTTAAAAAAATAAGGAAGATAATGATAATCAGCAATATAACAAAATAACTATTAGTGGTAATAATTGCAAGAAAAAGGATACATATTTCTAAAAAGAACAAAAGCTCAAATAACCGCCGCTCAAACGCCTTTGAGTTGATTACTAATGAACACTATAAAACTAAGATCAGTTGATATTAGAAAAAAAAAAAATCGTAAAAAATAAAGATACAAGTTAACAGCTAGAATAAGCGAAACTAAAAAACATTGGACTTGATTACAAATTAACTTTATAACACTTAGATCAGTTGCTATAAAGACGGAAACTCAATAACAATAACCGATATTTAGGAAGTGACGAGTTTCATTGCTATAGAGGCATTAAATGCGAAGGAAATGTTTATGATCTTTAAAAACACCAATAGTTAAGCAATAAATTTTGGTTATAGTCATACACACTCAGTAGAATGAGAAGTGATAAGTAATATTCGTGAGAGGTATTTGACATTTACCTAACAATATATATAATTACAGCAGAAAAGCAAATACTGCTATGATCATTGATGAAATATATGAAATACATCAGTCATCGTTAAAAGATCACATACAACATTTACAAATCCGGTAGTTGGATTTCACAACACTAAACTGAATTGGCATGATAAACAAGTGAATATTACGAAATGACGGCGTTGTTAAAGAAGGTGGGGGATGTGTGTGTGTGGGTGTGTGTGTGTAAAATGGCCTTTCACAATCACAAGAAACAAGCCATTAGCTGCTTTAAACATTCCTTGTAATCTATCTTAAGGCAACCACGCTTTCATAATCGAATATGGACAATGTTGACAACAAAACGAAAAAAAAAGAAGTTAACAATTTAAGTGATTGATCGAAAACTGATCCTCTTGACAGCCAAAATAAAACCCCACGTCTTAAATTCTACCATTCCACGGAAGAAAATGAGAGAATGAAAGTTAACAATTTACCAAACCGTGATTGTACAAGGAAGTCCAAATGACTATCAATCCTTCACACTCATCCTTCCCCCCCGCCATCGCCCGGCCTCGTCCCGGGCTCCCACGCACACCTCAGATCTATAAGAGAAAGAAATACAATCATTACATTATTTACTCTATTCCTCTAGATAATTAGTGAATGTAGATATATTATTTCAAGCTGACACTAACTCTGAAATGATTTGGAGGATTTACCTTTCTGATAGCGGAGACGGCGAGAGAGTGAGGCGATAAGAGGCCCCAAGTGACACGTTAGTTCAAGAGTCAAATGAGAGTTTCTGTGACCAACGCCTTTTTTTTATTTTTTTACGTTATTGTAGATTTTTAAAAATGTGAATTGATAAATGTTGTGTAAAACAGATTTTGAAAATAGTTTTATCCTATATGACATGTTGAAATGAATTAAGTGAAACATAAAAAAGAAAGAAAGAAAATATCTGGTTGTATAACACCTAACTGGTACGAAGTTCAGAGTCAAATGAGCGATGAAATTCTATGCATAATACGTATACATTTCCTCGTTTTCTCTCCAACACTTATATATCAATCGCCGTCACCAACACTCTACATTTATAAAACATAATGCTAACAATAAATAAATACAATAATTATAACCCAAATGCCCCTTTGAACTACGTAATTTCCGCAACTGATACCAATCTCTTATCAGCCGGCGTGGGTATCGGGAACAAGGATGAGAAGTTGCTGAAGATTTTTTTTCTTCTTTCTCCCTCTCTTGCTTCAAAGACCATGCTTTCCCCTTCTTTACTCTTCCTTTTATTTTCATCTCAAGAAGGTTTATGCACATATATGCAAGTTCTGAACGTAAATGATTTCATTGCATTCATTAACCTTCTATTTCGTTTTGTCAAATTTTAAGGAAAATAATTGAGGGGAGAGGAATCAATGCACATGGAAATTACGGAAGATAAAATTCAAAATGAACAGTGCTAGACAGTCCGGTAAAATAATTCCTTGTAGCATATAACTCATTCACTTTCAGGCTTACACTAGACGAATTAGAGCATTTTACCATACATCAGAATATCCCATTATATATATAGTGGTAGTGATTTTTTTCTTTATCATTATCGCGATCATGAAGATGATGACAATCATCATCATTACTTTCATCATTATCAATATCATCACCATCATCATTATCAATATCATCACCATCATCATTATCTATGTTTTTTATTATTATTATTGTTATTTATGTTATTATCATTATTGTTATTATTATCATTATCATCATCACCATTACAAATACAACAACTGCTGCAATTAGTATTGTCGTTATCATAATCTTCAATATTATCATTATACTTGTTATTAGTAGTAGTAGCAGTACTAGTTACAGTAATAGTTATATTGTTATTTTGGTCAAAATTATCGTCATTACCATAACTTTAGTACCATTATCATTATTTGCCAATATTCCCAAATCCCCGCCACAGGCATTGATATTTTAAGAATTAAATGAACAAAAGTGAACATAACACATCTACGGCAATTTGAATATAACGTCATTAGTTTATCCCTCGTTAGGGCATCAATGAATATCCTTTCCCGTTCGCCGTTAACTTTCTTTATCATCTTTGCTAGCATCGTCCCTCTTGATAATGTTCGCTCCGACGTCAAGAGCTAAGAGGGCTTGCGAGGTGCGGCATAACTGAACGAGTCATCATGACTGCGTAAACAACAGTGTAATTAATACACTAATGTGTTGTACTACTTTGTACCGTTCGTAGACTGCATTATTGTGGTTTAGGATTAATTAATTTCTTCGCATTATTTTTTTCTGTCTCCAGAGAGAGAGAGAGAGAGAGAGAGAGAGAGAGAGAGAGAGAGAGAGAGAGAGAGAGAGAGCGAGAGAGCGAGAGAGAGCGAGAGAGAGAGAAAGAGAAGGAAAGAGAGAGAGAGACAGAGAGAAAGAGAAAGAGAGAGAAAGAGAAAGATAATGAAAAGGAGGAGAAAGAGAGGGAGAGAGAGAATCCTTGAGAAACTCCGAACACAGCCGGTGGGCGATTATCGTGCAAGATAAGGATGCTTATCACTCGTAGCTTCTACGTGGAAGTTATGAAGCCAAGGTTGATGTTAGCTATTTAGTCAGAAAGCGATGTGATAATTAAGATGTAAAATAAAAGTTAAGAGATACAGAGAGAGGATGAAAGAGAGAGAGAAATAGGGAGACAGATAGACATAGAAAAAAGAGAGTGCAGGATATATTGAACAATAGAGAATAAAGGGAAAATAAAAAAGACAATAAGCAATAGAAAGAGAGAAATAGGCAGGCAAGAGAGAGAAAGAGAAAGAGAAGAAGAGACACGAAAACCTAAAGAAAGAAAAAATAAATAGAGAACTATAGTATTGTGAAACAAGAGTTTTTAATTTAATCTGGAAACTTGGTTGTTATGAATCTTTCCCCTTAAAATCGCAACTTTCATTTACATCCAGTATTCACCTGAGGAATGGGAGAGGCGCTGGCAGTTTTGGCGCCACGTCAGCCACAGATAAGACGCCATTGTTAAAACGTGGAAGATGAATCATTAGATATACACACAATTCAGTTCTTATTTTCATTCTTCCCCTTTTGTATGTTGGAACATTCCTGATGGAACATCTTATTTATGTTCTCCTTCTTCTTTCTTTCTTTCATCCTTTCTTTTCGTAAGAGAAGAGTACGTGTTTTTTTTTTGTTTTTTTTTTCAGTGTCTCATTTGACTCCTTGGTTCTTAATGCGACGTTTCATTAACGCTTTGAGGGAACATTCTGACTTTGGAAATTGCTTTCTTAACATTTATTATTACTGCAATCGTCATTATTTTTTTTATTTATTATTACTTAAATGATTCACTTCATGATTAGTTATCATCATTACCGTATCTCTATCACGATTAGTATTGTTATCATTATTATCATAATCATTATTGTCATCATCATAATCATTATTGTCATCATCATAATCATTATTGTCATCATCATAATCATTATTGTCATCATCATCAATATTATTTTCATTTTTATCAATATCATTATTACCATTATCATCATTAATTCAATAATGTAACTGCATTTAACTAATTGGTTATACCATCATAATTCTAGTTCATGCAATTCACTGCCGAGTTTCAGAGCCAAAGATGATCCTTAATAACCATGTTTTCAAAAACTTGGTATGACTTGGTAATGAGTATTTGTTAATAATTTCATCCGTTAA